ATGGACGGATCCACGTCCACTCGCAGCGACACGCCCTCCGGCACCTTGGGCGCTATCACGCTCAGCACCTGCCATTCGCAGAGGGAGGAGTGGGAGAGGGAGGGGGTGGGGGGCGGGGAGTAAGAGGGCAGAGGGCAATCCTGGCGCAAGGCGGGGGAAGCAGGGGTGGGGGTGCACATCCGCCGGCAGTGCTTGTTGCTCGGTGCCTTAGCTTGTTGCCCAGTGCCTTAGCTTGGGCGCTGAGGAACCGCCGCACTGGAGGGCGAGAGAAAGGGAGGGCGTGGGGCCGTAGGAGGGAAGGAGGAGGGAGGTAGGAGGGGGGGCATGCTGTGGCCAGGGGAAGGGGAAGGGCAAAAGCAGCGAGGCGACTGCGCTGGCATGGAGGCGGAGCAGGGCGAGGGCAGACCCACCCACCTGCTGCAGCAAGTCAGTGCCCTTCCCCACCCAGCTCCCCGGCCAGCACCATCCGCCCCGGTGTTGGCCGCATGTGACCAGTTGACCCACACACTCCGCACCAGACAGCACTCCACCTGCTGCAACCCACCTGCTGCACTCCAAGGCACGGCACCTGCTGCATTGTGATCTAAAAAAAACAAATGTGTGTTTCTTTGAATCATGTTCATCAAATTCTTTCATACCTGCTGCACTCCATACTTGCTGCACTCCATACCTGCTGCACTCCATACAAGCCGAGCAGGGCACTCAAAGGCACCATACCTGCTGCACGAGGTCGCTGACGTCGACGAGCTCCACGGCCAGCATCATGCGGCCCAGCTCGATGTTGCGCAGGTTGGCCACGTCGCCCACCACCGTGCTCATGAGCTCGCCGCACACCCGCGCCTTCCCCACCGCCTCCGCCGCCAACGCCACTGCCGCCCCCGCCCCCACCTCCTCCTCGCCGGCCCCTCCCCCCCACCCTCCCCCCTCCGCTCCCCCCATCCCTCCCCCGTCCATCCCACTGCCGCCCCCGCCAGCGTTGGGGGCAAGGAGCGTGGGGGAGAGGGCGGCGGAGGGGGTGGGGGCCTTGGGGTGCAGCAGGGCGAGGCGCGCGACGGCGGCAGCGGCGTGGTGGAGGTGCAGCGAGAGCGAGGCGAGGGGCTGCTGCAGCTCGTGGCTGATGTACCCCATCATCAGCACCGACACCCCGCGGTTCTCCGCCTCCGACCTGCAACGCCACGGACGTCAGTGGGGGCGAGAGAGAGGGGGATAAGGAGAGCGGCTTGACGCTGCTGCACCTCGTGGCTGGCTGATGCACCACCCCTCATCAGCACCGACACGCTGCGGTTGTCCGCTTCGGACGTGGGTCTTGTGGCATGGGAGAGGGAAGCCGGGAACTTCCCTTAGAGTGGCGCGAGGGGCTGCTTCGTGGCCCATGGCTTAGCCACTCCATCACCTGCAGTCGCACCCCACTGCTCCTTGCTTCAGGTTTGGATGACGGCGGCGAGAAAGGAAGCGGGTGAGGAGGACGAAGGAGGGAGAGAATTTGGGGGTTGGTGAATCCATAGAATGGCCAGTCAAGAGCAATGGCCCGAAAGAGGTGCTTCGAAGCTGGGCAGTACAAGGGGTGTTTGCAAGGAATAGAGTGGGTGGGTTGCTTGCATGAGGCAAGGCAAGGGGATGTGCAGCTGCAAGCAGCCACAACCGAGTGAGTGCACCTGCACATAACTGGACACAGACACTGCAAAGAGTGTACAAGACGAAAACATAAGTGCGAACTACGAACAACGCTGGGACCCACGAAGCGCGCAGACAAGTGCATTTGGCAGACAAGGCAACTCTGTGAGGCACTCACACGAGGCTGCGCTGCAGCAGGGCGAAGCGCTCGTTGATGAGCGACTGCATGTGGCGCAGCACGGGGCGGAAGACGAAGAGCCCCTCCAGCACGAGCGTGACGATGACGAGCATGTGCAGCACCCACGAGAGGATGAGGATGGTGCTGGTGTGCGTGTCCGCGTCGTTCTGGTACATGAGCACGATGTCGTCCTGCGTCTTCCAGAAGAAGGCCTCGCTCTCCATGATCGTGTCCACGTACTTCTTCAGCTGCCTGGAGGGGGGGAGATAAAGTGCAGGGGGAAGAACACCAGGAGGAAGGGGGAGGAAAGGGGGAGGACGACAGAAGGAACGGGGAAAGAAGGTGGGAGGAAGGGGGGAGGACGGGGGGAGAATTGGGGTTAGAATGGAGGGAGGGGTGGGGGGGATAGGGAGAAAATGGGGGGAGAATGGAGAATAGAGGTAGAGTAACAGAACGCAGTTTGTGTAACGGAGGGTAGTGTAGGCCTGGACTGCAGACGAGGCATGGATCGGAGCGAAGCCAACTGACGCAGCTCGCACGGCTCTGGCGAATACACTTGGAATCGGAAATGCCAAATCTAAGACATTTGAATGGACATCCTAAGTGCTGCCAGGCGTAGCGTCTGCCTTTTATCTCCCCAAGCCAAGTCGCATCGGGTTCCTTCTTACAGGGAAACTGTTTTTTCTTCCTGCCCCCGGCCAAGTCTGCTCCTACCCGTTGCAACAAACCCTAACGTTCTCGCACCTCTCGCAGGGGCATGTGACGTTATCGGGGCTTACTCGCACGGGCGGGTTGGGCATGTGACAGTATCGGGGTTTAGCTCCACTATTCCGCGCGCGCTCCAGAAGACGGCGAGGAACGCGGGGGTGAGCTCCTCGATCTTCTTCGCGATGTCGCGATTGCCCGTGCCCGGTAGATTCAGCTCCTTGCTGCCGTACCACAGCCCGTAGTGCGATTTATTCCACAGCGCCGTGCGCTCGCTGAGCTCGTTAACATAGTACGACACGCTGCGGTTGTCCATCCGCAGCACGTAGATCTCCAGGCTGTCCTTCGATATCAGCTGACTCAGCATGCGCTGCCGGCCGGCGACGTTGACGACGGTGGCGTCGCTCTTGCTGTTCTGGATGGCGAAGTGCACGGCGAGCTGGCCGCCGAGCGAGAGCAGGATGACGACGGCGACGGTGAGGAAGTAGGTGAGCGTGAGGTTGCGCACCACGAACGGCTGCGTCAGCCCCTCGTTCTGCTGGATCACCGCCTTCACGTGCTCGCGCACGTCCTTCGTCGTGTTCGTCCGCCGCCCGAACTCCGCCGCCCCGCGCCCCGCCGCCCCCGACGCGCCCCGCGCGGGCTCCGCTCCGCCCACCCTCCCGCCCGCGCCCCCGGGCATGATACTCGCGGCGCCCCCCACGCCCCCCTTCTCGAGGTCGTCCTCGTAATTGGTGCTGTGGATGAGCGGCGACGCGAGGCCCGACGTGAGCCCGTGCTTGTCGTCGGGCATCGTCATGTCGTACGCCATCGCCATGCCGCCCCCCTCGTTATCGTTATCCATGTCCGACGACCACCCCCCGCCGCCCCCCCGCGCGTGCCCCGCCCCCCGGGAGCTCCGCCGCCATCCCGCGCGCCGTACCGCCCGCTACTGTCGTTGTGGTGGCCGCTGTGGTGGCCGCTGTTGGGCACGCTGGCGGGGTCGCCCGGCGCGAGGCCCTCCAATGGCGCGAGTCCGTCCATCGGCGCGGGGGAGGGGGAGGCGTGCGCGCGAATGCCGTTGCTGTGGCCGCTGCTCCAGTGGCCGCTGTTGCCGCCAGGTGCGGCGTCGGAATCAGCCACCATCTGAGGGGGGGGCGGGCAGGGACGGAGGCGGCGAAAGAGGGAGGAGGGAGGGGGGGGGCAGAGGGGGGAAGTGGGTGTGATCAGAGGGGCGTCGGGGGGCTCAATTGGGCGAGGGCGAGGGCGGAAGACACGCGGGAGACACGCGTGGAGTGCACAGCGCTGCCGGGAATGGAGGGCAGTCGGCCTCTCAGCGCGCACGGCACGGCCTTGTCAAAGCGAGCAATGCCGTGCTGCAGGGTAACAACCGCTTCCCCTCCGCCCCGCTTCCCCTGCCGGCGCGCGTGCTCTACCGCTCCCCTCTCTCGTTCGTTGCACGACGCCAATGCTGCGTGCCTACTCCTCCCCTCAACCCAGTGCTCGGGGCTTCCTCAGTTCGCTGCTCCCCTGTCCACCATTCCGTCCCGTTGCTCTTCCGTTCCGTCACGCTCGAACCAATGCCACGGCACCGTGGCACGAAACGATTATGAACGCCTTTCCCAGACCAGTAGTCGTCGCGTCGCGTTTACCTGTTGTTAAGCCGTGTCGGATGGCGAAGCGATGTCTACCTCCCGGGTAACGGCCAATGCTGCTACAAGAACCCCAAGCCGCCACGAACCACCGAGCCGTCACGAATCACCGAGCCGTCACGAACCACCGAGCCGTCGCAGAACGCAAGGCGATGCTATTGACTCCTTCTCCTGTTCACCTGCTCGAGCACAGCTCCGCACGAGGCTCTCATTCTAAGCTGCAGTCTGGCCCGCGCTGCTTTCTCTCTATGCGTGCCTAATCGCCTATATCAAGCAATTGCTCAGGCTATCTCCTCTAAACACGAGTGTTGTTTTGACGAGTGATGTGACGATGGCGACAGAGGTGAGTGAGTGAGGCGAGTGGTAAAATACGGCGGGGTCAGATGGATTTATGGGGAAGGTGGTTCGGCGGAGAACTGGGGGAAGGGGGAGAAAGTAGCGCAGAGGGCAGGGAACCGGTACCCAGGGGTATGGGGGAACGAAGGCAGGTCTGCGGAGCATACGGCGCACCGTACCGCCGCTTCCGCGTTTTGTAGTTTTTGCCACCCAAGGATGTGCGCGGAAACACCATGCGCCACCGGAAGTGCGCGCAAAAACACCGTGCGCCAGGCCTGAGGTAGGTGGTTGTGGTGTGCTGCCGCCGACGTGGGCGGCGGGAGCGAGCGAGATGATTGGTCGACGGAGGGAGAACTTCGGAGCGCGCTGATTGGCCAACGTCTACTTCAAAGCTGGTGAGTGGTGGTTTAGTTACAACTGCGGTGGAGTCAAATCCATACCGTACATTGAACAGATCCATGCCGTAATTTTTCTCACGAAAGCGTCGCTATAATGTTTTTACGATTGTTTCCTTCTTTAGTATTCTTGATTAATGAAACACCACTCACATCTTCAGCCGAATACAAAAAATGCTTCGTGAGGTGAACGGCCCTCCATCACGGGTCAGTGGCACCAGATGACTGCTTTAGGTCAATAGCAACCAGCACCACTACACAACCACATGCTGGGTTCGAAAAATGTCAAGAAACACACTGCAGAACTCAAACCAGCCTGAGCCAAGTAGGTACCTAGTTAGCTCCTCCTGACCTGGCAATTCACCCTGCAGCTGAATACACCCTACCATAGCTATCTCCCTACCATCCAACCTTACCAGAGCACCAAGCGCTTCTCACCTAGCCCCTGCCAAACTCAACCAGGGACAATAGCCTGCCTGCAGCCTCTTTCAGCTCCTAGCTGAAACTAATACCTTGTGACAGAATGGTCAATTCCTTGATAACGCCCCCACCTGCAGATCCAGGGCACCTACAGCCGGCAACAGCTGGATCCTTTGCAAAGGCTGATAAGCTTGTCGCTGCCCTAACACCTGCTCGTCCTACCTCCTGCTTACGAGTACATAGAGTATCTGCAAAACAACAGGAAAACAATGAGGCATGGTGAGGGAAAGCTGCTGAGGAAGGGAAACAAAAATAACGTTGTACTGCATGAGAAGTAGAACTTACCCGCCAGAGCTACCGTACGCGTCACTGTAGCCTGAATAATTCGCACTATTGGTTCCAGCAGCCTGGCCACCGCTTCCATACCCGCCAGAAGCGCCAGTCGCGCCGTACCCACTCTGCCTCGCACCTCCACCGCTTCCATACCCTCCCGCGGTACCAGCCCCCGCGCCGTACCCTTCCGCCCCGCCATACCCGTAACCAGAGCTACCGTAGCCTTGACCCGCGGCGCCCGAGGCACCCTGAGATCCTGCCCAGTTGCCCGCTCCCTGAGCGTAGCCCGACCCGCCCGCCGCGGAACCACCGCCATAGCCTCCAGCCGCAGCGCCCTGACCGTACCCGCCGGCCCACTGGGTCCTGCCGGCTGCGCCGCCGGCTTGACCATAACCAGCCGCGCCGGGAGATCCGCCGTAGCCCGAATTTCCGCCATACCCTCCAGCCGCCCCGTACCCTCCCTCGTACGCCGCAGCGGCTCCGCCGTAACCGCCAGAGCCGTACCCTCCGCCGTACCCGCCGCCGTTCATCCCGCCGCCGTACTGACCGCCGTAGGCCCCATAACCACCACCGTACCCGCCGCCGTAGCCGCGACCGCCGCCGGCGGCATACCCGCCGGAGTACCGGGAGTCTCCACGAGCGCCGTACCCGCCGCCGCCGCCGCCGCCGCCGTAACCCCCGCCGCCTGCACCATACCCGCCAGATCCGTACCCTCCACGTGCGCCATAGCCGCCGCGACCGCCGCCGCCGCCGCCGCCCATGTTGTCCTTGGGCACGGCGCGCTTGACCTCGACCATCTTCTCCTTGAGCTCGTGGAACGTCTTCTGCAGCACGCGCTCCACCGCGTCCTCCGTGTCGTACGTGATGAAGCCGAAGCCGCGCGGCCGCTGCGTGTTGTGGTCGTACATCACCACCACGTCCGTGATCGTGCCGAACTGCTCGAAATACTGACGGAAATCGTCTTCTGTGACGTTGGACGCGAGGCCGCCGACAAAAATCTTCTTTGTCCGCTGGGAAGGCTGGACGGAGCCGCCGCCGCCGCCACCGCCTCCTGAAGCTTGTACTCCTGACATGTTGCCTTGAGATGAGTCGAGTCCTCTGGGAAGATTCTGCTCGTCTCGGGGAACAGCTTTTTTAGCTTCCACCTGAGAAGCAGAGGAATGAAGGGAAGAAACGAGTTTAGTCATCAGCCTTAGATCCACAACTTTAAGGCATGTGGTAAATAAAAAGAACAAGATTGATCAATAGGCACGGCACGCAGCGTAAACGACAGCCACGCAACAAATCTGTTAAAAGAGCCAGATTCATCAAATCCGTTGAATCTATGTCGGACCTGTCTGCCATCGATAGTGTGCTTCTCGAGAACCACGCGATCCGCCACGTCAGGGTCGGCAAAGATCACAAAACCAAACCCGCGAGCCTTGCCCGTGGTCCGGTCCTTCATGATGACCACCTCCCGGACCTCTCCGTACGTCTGGAAATAATCCCTCAGCCTATCCTCCGTGGTGTCCCATGAGATACCCCCAATGAACAGCTTACCCTGGTCCGGGTCCATGCCCAGCAAACGGAGGGACGAGGAAACCCTGGCAGCCCTCCAGAAGCAGCAGAGCAAGACTCAGGGCAAGTGGGATTGAGATTCCAGTTATGAGGGAGGAGGTGAGATTCAGAAAGAAACGACCAAAACAGAGGCCCAGTTTCAGAGCTAGCGGTGGGGGAGCGGAGGATGGTGGATCAAGAAGCTACGAGGGTTACAGGGTTTGGGGGGAAGGTGTAGGCTAGGGTGGCGCAGGTTAGGCTCGGAAATCAGTCACTCAGGTATAGCGTGGCGTTATGGCGCAGTCTGCTTGGCTTTGTCTTCCGAGCCTCGGAAGCAAAATCCCATGGCGCGGGAGTCAGGCACCGTCGCCAATGTCTGACTCACTGTTGCCTGGACGTAATAATGTTCGGGCCAGACCAGCTTCTGACGCTCGGTTCTGACGGGATATCTTGGGAAAGCGAAAACTGCCAAACAAGGTGATATGTTACGATATGAACACTTATTTTTTTCCCCTTCTAAACGGCCTAATCCATTCAGCAGCAACCCATCCATGTTTTGTTTATGGTACAAATATGGTTCCGCTACTGGATTGGAGTTTAAATTCTCGAGCCCATTGAATACGATACTTTGAAGAACCAAAGTAGTTAATGAGGGGGTGAGGATCTAGAGTCTCGAACCGTAGAGCATTGATGTCAGCGTAAGACTTACACATCGTATAGGAAATGCTTGTAATGGCAAAGAGTAATAATGAGTAATGCATGCGATCATATAGCCTAGAATTATCTGATAAATGTGCATGCTTTTTTTGTGTGTATCTTGTCTATTCGCATCACTCAGCGTGGTGTCTTTTCATGTGATCTAGAGTGGTGTGGTGTGGTGTGACTCTTTAGGTGACTTTGCGCTCTAACCAACTGCTGGCATCTCTACTACGCCTCCTTCCACACGAGATATCGCGCATCTTCTCCCTGGGCTAGTATTGTCAAAGGGGATGGCAGAGAGTGGGGGGATGGCAGTGAGCTGGGGGACGGCAGATAGTGGGGGGGTGGCAGAGAGTGAGTGGAGGGACAAGGGTGTAAGGGATAGGTGAGAATAAGGATCCCTGGGGTAAAGGGAGTAGGGATGGAGAGATCAAGCAATAGATTGTTGAGGGAGAGGGTTAAGACTGGAGAGGGTGAGGGAGAATTGAGAGGGGGTGAGACCTTGAGGGTAGAGAATCCAGAGACATAGGAGGGACAGCACGGGGCAGACAAAAAGCTGTACAGTCTTGAAACCCAGAGATTAAACCACCTTTCCCCCTCCCAGCATTCCCTTTCTCCCTGACCTTTGTACCCCCTCTCCTTGCCCTCTGTACCGACTGCCTTCGCCCTTTGTAGTATATACCCCCTCTCCTTTCCAGGCTGTGGGAGAGGATGGGTGGGTAGGAAATACAGGAATGTGAAAGGGTACATGACGGGGCCTATCTCATAACATTCCGTTTTTCCAGACCCCCGTCTCCAGTTCTGTAAAGGAGACTCTCCGCATTATGAAGCACCCGAAGCTCTCTTTGGATGACGTTGCAGACTGGAAGAGTCATCGTGGCGTGGAGCGGTTCTAGTCCACCCTCAAGAGCGAGGATATCAAGTGGGTTGAGGAGCGTGTGGAGGGGAACGACCCCCGGGTCGGGTACGTCACCATGCTCCGATGACCAGTAGATAAGGTAGGGCTCTCTTACTGTGTCCACTGTCCATACTAGGGCCCTTCCCCTGTCCGTTGTAAGGCATCACCCTTGAGCTCCTATATCATATCTGTGCACCTCGGCAGGTCCTCAAGTACATGTGGAAGAAAAACACGGCTGAGCCTGGGTTTGTTGTTGAGCCAAAACAGTGTAAGGTGGGGGAGGAGCGACGGTACAGCACTTCCGAAAACACGGACTGGATGATGTCTGCATGGGTGAGTCTTGTGTGGCACTATGTGGATGCACGAGCTCGGCATTTAGAGAGCTTAGATGAGTGGCTGTCCGTTACGTGCCCAGATCCCGCTATTCCATCCAACCATATGCAGGGCAAGGTGACGTCGGGGGGCCTCCTCATCGGGATCATCCTTTTTCCTGACCAGACGATCCTCACCTATAATGGGAGGCAGACAGCTCATCCAGTCATGATGGCTTTTTGTAACTGCCCCAAGAGCACGAGGTGGAAGGATGGGGGGATTGAATTTATGGGGATGATCCCTAACTTCCCTACGGACATGGATCCCGTGGAGAGGCTTCGTGCATTTTAGAGTCGTGTCAGGGCAATCGTCGAGGCCTTTGATCAGGGCTTTACAGCCGGGGAGGTATGGCTCGTTTGTTCAGCTTCACGCCTGCAACATGTTTGTGGGCATACTATGAGTTGGCTCTGAGTGCTCGAGGCTCTGTTACATAGTCTGTATACATGCCACAGCCAGCACATTCTCCCCAAAGCGGCACAGAAGCCACTCGTCCCATAGTCTCCCTCCCCCTTGCTCCTATGTTCGCCTCCCGCAGCACTGTATCGCGGTCAAGGACTTCATGGGGATGTCCTACATGGTCATTCCGCCCCTGTACGCGTATGTGGCGGAACACCCGGATTCATGTAAGGTGGCGTGCATCATGTCCAGCCGCTTCAAAAGCCCATGCCCACAGTGTGTTGTCAAGCAGGCCAACCTACATGACATGGACGCCAGCGCACCACTGCGCACGGTCAAGAACCAAAAAGATATGCATGAGACCATGAGGCAGGCATCTACCTCAACCGAATGCGACAAGCTTTGCAACGCCATGTTCACGCACTATGTGTCGGTGTGTACACCCCCTGATTTCGTCGTTGTTAGCCCACAGATCTCTAGCAGTGCCCTAATGCCCGTTGGTGTGTTGTGCCCTTGCATGGCTTCCTGTGGGATTGGGGGTACGCTAATACCCATGGGGCAACCCATATTAGGCGCTGCCACCCGAGTCAATGCACATGATCGAGGAGGGCATTTGGCTACACAAGATGAAGTGCTACTTGCAGCTGCTGACCGACGGACAACGGAAGATCCTCGTCGCATGATCGGGGGACCCGTATCCCCATGCATCCGCTGATGCCCTCTATTTTGATTACTCCTTCTATGCGCATGTGATTTCTGGTCCGGTCCCTTGATTGTCTCCCTTCCCCCCCCCCCCCCCTTGTCCCCCCTCGTGGTCACCTCCTTAAATACTTTCATAGATCGTGGCGGGCGTTTATAGAGGACCAAGGAGCACACGCCATCATGAATGCTCCGCCTCCCAAGCAGCCTGCTCTATTGGCAGACATGAGCCACATTCTCTGCGGCGGAGCACCGCGCGGTCACGCAGGTCACACCCCTCATCATGCACCTTCCCGGATTGGAGGACACTTAGGCATCCGTGCTTCAGGTCTATGACTGGTTCTTGTTCATGTTTCGCCGCGAGTATCACATGGATGGGACGCTGTTGATGACAAAGATAAAGACAAAGCACTAAGTGTTGCAATGTGTGCGCTGCCGTGGGACGTCGCAGCACAATTGCCCGCAATCACCAGCGGTACTTGTGCCGCACCCCACACCCAACACCCCACATTCCACCCAAGGGTGTGGGGTGTGAGGAGTGGGATGTGGGGTGTGGGGTGCAGGGGGTGGGGCGTGGGTCTTTTCGACGCTGCCACATCCCCAAACCCCACACTTCACAGCCCACACCGCATCCCCAAACCCCGCACCCCATACCCCACCCCTCACCCTTATCAACTCCCTGCCATCCCCCTACCCCACACCCCCCCACAACCCACCCCCATTTTCTCGCACCCCAGAATGGTGGAGGGGCTCCTCACGGCTTACCCCAACCAGGCCTCGGAGTGGCGTCTCTCGAATGTGCACAAGTTGGTTTACGTCTCGGACGCCATTCACAGCTGGGGTATGCCTCACGAGTACAACACCAACTCTTAGGAGAGTCGCCACAAGTCGATGGTGAAGCGGTCTGCTCGTGGGGCAACTGAAGGTATGTTGCGGAGAGGATTGCACGCAAGCACGTAGAAGGAGACCTAGCAAAGACTTTGTCATGAGCCGAGGGTGGCGACGAGACCAACGTAACGGCTATGCGCGAGGTGACGATTGTCCGAGTAGCTGGGAATGCTCCTCCATCATGTGACATGATCCACCATGCGCAAATGTGTGACCTATATCCCCATTCACCATGTACTCCACCCTCCACCTAGTGATCCCTCATCCCCCCCTCTCCCTTGTACCCCTCCAATTGGTAGGCCGTCCGGCTGAACAAGTGGGTGATGACAAGCACCAAAAAGCGGCTTGTTGTAGGGTCTGCGCAGGATTCTACCTTCACGTCGTACACCAGGGAGCTGGGCTCGTCCACATGTCATTGTTTGGGCAGGCGTTGGTCAGGGGCACAGTCCTGGCACCTAAAATCTTTGTGAGTGCTTGTGGGTCGTGGTCCCCCGTGGGGGTGGCCCACAGGAAACCCCACACCCGTGTCCCAGCATGTTGGGAGTGCACATGATTGACCTGTTGACTCTGCCACCGAATTGGTGATATATGACTTTGAAGCACCGTGCAGACACATGACTCTAAGGACACGATGCCCCACAGCTGACACGCATTTGTCCGCCCAGGGTCCTCCCACCCCGCCTGCTCCTAACTCCCCCACCCCGTCTCCTGCCTTCACACGGCCCTCACAATCCAACCACGTGACGCCATGGAGTGGCAATCACAGGGCCGATTCGTTAAAGCTAGCTCGACATAGAGGGCATTCAGCCATATCGCCATTGCATAGGGAGGGGCCAGCTGGTATGGTCGTTGTCTTATGCTGTTCTCATACAAGGACCCTTTTGGTGCAACACAAGAAGTTGTTTTCGTGGAGTACTACACAAAGCTCCCACACCCTTGCTTTGTGACCAAATGCAAGTGGCTCACCCGTACCGTGGGCGTGGACCACTTTGCCGTGGTCTGCACCATAAACATGACCTCTCATGTGCATATTGTGCCGTGATTTCGCAATGCGAAGCACCTCCTCGCTAATAAGTACATTTTTTTAGCACTGCGGCACACCCCACGCTTATGACGCTGACTTTCGACTCATGTACGGGTCCTGCACCCATCCACTTTGACTAAACCCATATGCTATGATTTGAGTAGGTCATAGGGGTTGTCAT